TATCCCAATTTGGGTATGACATCTCCTTTGTGACGGGACCCTGGCTATGTATTTGTGCATCTTTAAATACCTAAATATTTCTCCTTAGATGCTCTGCTTCAACTCAAAATCAACACACCCATTACCAAACATATCTTTCCCAAAAGAGTCTTGCCTTCCTCAAATCCCTATATGATACTTATGGCCATCACTTAAGGTCAAAAAACTTAGTATCTTACCTAACTATGCCTCTCCCTCTAATTTGTCACGTCAAGTATTGTTAGAGCATATATAGTAGCATTGCTTATGTAAGCCCCTTCTGCTCCTATCACTTCTACTTTGTTTTGCCCAAGTCATCTCTTAACCCATACTACAACAGCTAGTCGTCCTGCTTCATCCCTTCCCCTACAATCATCCACTATCTCCTGAGATACTGATTACATGGTACTTTCTACTCAAAACCTTCCAAATCTTTTTGCTTTTACATGCCTAATCACTAACTCTTGGGTCCAAATCATAATCTAGTCACAACGCCTAATGGAACCCCCTGTCATGGTCTCATTTACTCAGTATCTTCTAAACATGCCCTGAACTTCAATATTCCACCCATTATTAATTATATTTCCCTCAGCTACAGTGCCTTTCACTCACCTCCTATCTGCCCATCCAAATCCTACCATCTGTCCTCCTTCCTTACTTTCTCTAAACATTCCCTAATCCTATAAATCAAACTTTTTTCTCCTGAAATTTCTTTTGAGTTTGTAAGTAGCACCCTATTGATTCTACACTGCTTTATATTTTCAATATAATATATATTATATATAAGTAAATTATTAACCCCTTGAGGGAAAGAAACATGTTGAAAACAGTGCCCTTGCACATAAGAAATGCAAACTATTACTGACATCATAAAGTGGAAGTTTAAGAGGATAAATACAGTAAGTTAAGGTGCAAGATGAAGAAGCAGATCCTAAACAGCTCAATCTTCTCAGCTAAACCTTAAAAGATTTCTATCAAAACTTATCTACTATTGATTGCATTGGTATAAACTTACTATTTTTTAAATGGCAATCTATAATATGTACACATCGGGCTCCCTGCTATAAACTATATGTACATAGTTTTTAAGAGTGAACATAAAAACTGCATTTTCAAATCTTAGTAGGGAATCCCAGAGACTCCTTTCCATCCCCAACTCACGCCCTCAGTCTATCTAGCAGGCCTCCAGAGCTCGTGGACCCTGCAGCCACTGGCAAAAGTATTTCCAGCCTGCCAGTCAAGACCACCATTCATTCATACTTCATTACTATTCCTCAAAGACTCTTTATGATTCCTGACCTCCAGTTATCATCAAAAAGCAATTTACTTTTTTTTAAAAAGCAATTTATAGGTTTAGATAAATACGCTTAAAGTCTCAAACATATTTGGTTTTTCCTATGAAATTTGAGAGGATTACTATTACTCATAAGCTCCATGAGAAAAACGTACATTTTCTTTGTCTATAAAAGGCATTTACTACTAACAAAATGAGAAATCATTTTATACATAAAGTAAGTAAGATGGCTAAGTGTACATCACTATATAATTTTAATACTCCTGCCTGGATTTCATCATGAACACTGTTTCTGGTAGAAACATAAATATATGGGTATATAGGAATAAAAGAAGAAAAACTTCGATGTAAACATGAAGAGAACTGATATAACAGGTCAATAAATATAATTATGAACATTTTTTAGACTAATATCATCTAAATTATAATGTAGGAGCATTCCAGGAAGCATTTCCTAGACATACAAAAGGAAATCTTATTCTATAAGGATCTCATTTCCACGAATTCACCAAATAAAAACCGTTGTAGACATCTTATAAATACTCCTTTCCTTTTCTTCCCAGTCAGCTTCTTCTCCAAAGCCTATATGTATCTGGAATTTAAGTTAAAAATTTATAGCACCACAAGAAACAAACCTGATCCTAATCTACTACCTAAAAGGAAACATACATCAGGATAAGTCATAACAACATTTATTTATATGTATATGTTCTAAATGTCAGAAGAATGAAAATTTATTCAGATTTTAACTTGTTAAAAATGCTTTTTATTCTTTACGGGGTGCCTGGCTGGTTCAGTCGGTAGAGCATGGGACTCTTGAATCTTGGGGTTGTAAATTCGAGCCCCATGTTCGGTGTGGAGATTACTTAAAAATAAAATCTTTTTTAAAATGCATTTTATTCTTTAAATAAAAACAAAATTAAGGGGCACCTGGGTGGCTCAGTTGTTAGGCGTCTGCCTTCAGTTCGGGTCATGATCCCAGGGTCCTGGGATTGAGCCCCACATCGGGCTCCCTGCTCAGCGGGAAGTCTGCTTCTCCCCCTCCCGCTCCCCCTGCTTGTACTCCCTCTCTTGCTGTGTCTCTCTCTGTCAAACAATAAATAAATAAAAATCTTAAAAAAAAAACAAAATTAAGTTCAGATTAGCTGACTCTATAAACTAATCTATATATATTAACAATCCTTATAAAGTTACATTAAAAACCCATGAGCCATAGTATTTTCAAGTAACTCAGTATATTGTAGTCTCAAGTTCCACATGCCTTATGATGAATAAATGGGAGTGTTTTAAATTGTTCTGATTATAGATGTATGAGATGTATGAGCCGGCAGATTTCAGTCTGAATTTGGTATTGCCTTTAACAGCGTTATAAATGAATTCTAAGTTTTACAGTGTTATTCTGTAAAGAGAGACAAGAATAGCTATACTATACTATTCTTTATTTCTTGAAGTAATAAAGCAAACATAGATTTTTAAAAAATGAACCAGAATGGAATTAAAAATGTTTAAGATGAACTTCTCAAGTACTTCTAGACTATTTTAGAATAATGTAAGTTATTTACTAACATTTCCTTTTAGTTTTGAAGAAAAACCAATCTAAAAAATATTATCAACTAGTCAAAAACCATTTTCAAAATATCACAAAAGTAACTACTCTTTTAGCCAGACTATGTATATCCTCTTTTTCAATATTACCATCATTCATATCTCTGCCCTGCAAATGATTATCATCATCCTCAGAGTTCAAGATAACTAAGAAAATAAAATCCCTTGAACAGATTATATTCTCTTCCTATTTGGAATTGCTTTTACCTGAGTAATTTAAATTAATGAAGCACTGATCATCAATTATACAACCAATAAGATTTGGCTGACCTACTCTGGTGTTTTAATGTGATAAGTATGCATAATTTTCTAATAATGGGAATTTGGTACTGTAGTTTTCATACTTTACGAAGTTTCCAATTTGCTACCAAAATCATAGTCTTCCTTATTTTTTTGATCAAAACATTTTCCAGAAATTTCAAACAGGTTTTTTTTTCACTCAACTTAAGCTATCATGCTTTCTTCTCTTGTGCTATTAATTTTCTGTTTAGTTACACCCTAGTTACAGTCCTATAATAAAATCAGTTACAATATCTACTTCAAAATATCATCCTGCATAATACATTTAACTGTTCTTCCTATTCTTTTCAAGAAGAAAATTCATGTCTGCCATGATGCTTCTAGCTTCAGACTGGAAAACTCTCCAAAACCCTCAAAAAAAACACATATGTATCTTCCTGCCACTTGCATTATCTGCTGTAAATCAAGTACCACTCCAGTCCAGTCACAAAGCCTATATAAAGTGTTTGGCTACCTATTTTGAGAAAATGAATTGATTATCACTTCACAGGGGTTTGCTGGCACTGTTGTCATCATTGCTCTGCAGAGCAAGGTAACTTTTAATCCCTCAGCTCAATAAAAAATAAAACTGGAGGAAAAAATAAAATAAAAATAAAACCGGAGGAAGCACAGCAGTAAGCTAGAAGAAGCTAGTAGTCTTAGGGAGGGCTACTGAGCTTCAACAAGCAGAAAAACATCAAATTTCAAAATTTTTAATCATGGGACTTTGCTACATTTATAGAAACTTACTAAATACTTAAGAGTGATGAGGCACCTAGGTGGCTCAGTCAGTTAAGCATCCAGCTCTTGACCTCAGCTCAGGTCTTGATCTCATGGTCGTGAGTTCAAGCCTCATGTTGGGCTCCATGTTGGGCATGGAGCCTAAATAAATAAATAAATAAATATTTAAGAGTGTTTATTAGAATTGTAAACCAAGTATAAGGATTCTTTTTCTCCCTTAAGAGCTAAAGATAAATTTTAATATTTATTATTACAAAATAATCACTACAATCTTTCTGGTACAATACTCTATTTTCTTTATAGTCAGTGGCAAAAATGCAAGGTTTCCAAGGGGGCGCCTGGGTGGCTCAGTCCTTAAGCAACTGCCTTCCGCTCAGGTCATGATCCCAAGGTCCTGGGATCGAGCCCCGCATGGGGCTCCCTGCTCCGCAGGAAGACTGCTTCTCCCTCTCCCACTCGCCCGGCTTGTGTTCCCTCTCTCACTATGTCTCTCTCTGTCAAATAAAATCTTAAAAAAAAAAAAAGTTTTCCAAGGATTATATATATTAATCTCCAATTAACATATAGTTACCTCACCATAGACAGACTGAAATACCAAAATTTCTCAGAAGACAAAAAGGGAAGACTCTGATAGACTGCTACAAAGATGCTTCTGATCTAAGAAAAAAGGAATCATACTGCTCCAGCACTAGTGATTCAAAGAAACTTAATCTGTTACAGAATGAGAATACTGTCTTTATTTTTGAATTAAAAAGTTACCCTCATATACTAGCCTATGGACTTCTATAAGTTAGTTACTAGTCAATATTCACATTCTCAGAAAAGAAATGATAATTTTATTATTATGGGCCTGTAATCTTGTCCTTAGGGTCCACGATATGAGACCTGTTATACTCCAAAGAATTGTAATGAAGAACTTTGTAATAATTCCCTTAAATAAAAGATGTTTCACTGGTTTCCAAGCAAAAAGAGGTTCTTTGGTATAGTACTCATTTGGCAATAGTAATATTGACACTTATAAAATAAGAAGTTACAAATAATGAACATTTTATGAGATGTCTACCTGTTTCCACATTCTCGGTCTCAACTTCTTGTTCTTCTGCCACATCTTGCATCATGTAAGTCTCATCATCATAGACCAGAACCTGGGCTGCATAGCCCTGCTCTAATCTGGCACTTGGAACTGGCTCCACAATCACTGCTGGATATTCAGAAACCTTTTCACTTTCCTACAAGAGCAAATTTAGAAAACAATCAACCTTATTATTCACAAATTCTGGATTTACATATAAATACTTGAGTTCACATAGTCTCAAGGGGGCTACACAATGTACTGTAATTATGAATGTAAAAACCAAAACAAGAGATGAAAAGGGAACTTTAATAATCTTTTTCAAGTCTCAGGAGGTAACATTTTAAATAAGCAGGGCTTTAGGATTAAGATGACAAATTAAAAACATGCATATAATTGCACTCTCATGAAACTCACAAGTAAAAGACTTTTCAACACAAACCCATAAGGAGAAGAGATAAGAGCAACAGAATCTTGGAAGATTGAAAGTGGATGAATAAGTGTTATGAAATGATTTAGCAGACCCAGGAAAGCCAAATCACAGCCTGACAGCAAAAAGAAGCTGAGAAACAACACACTTTATACTGGAGAACCCACAGAAAGCAATACCCATTACTCCTGGAAATGGAGCAGCAGGTGTAGAGAAAGAGGAGGGGTTCAAACAGGAAAATCCCATTAAAGCTGTTTGAAAAGCACTTTGATTCCTAGACCCGTTCCCTCCTCCATGATGCTAGGCAACTGGCCCTCATCTCAGCAGAAGATTGGAGAATTAACTTTCTGGTGATGGAAAAACAAAACCATCTTTGAGGTATATTAGGCACATTTGTTAGTATCGATACTGCACCAAAAAGAGTTTTCAATCAGCTTTTTAGTCCTCCACTTTTAAGGATGAACAGACAGCCAAGTACTACCACTCATCTAAGGAAAAGCCTCTACCACAGAATATATACATATATGTACACACACCTACACACATACAGGGGATATTCCTCATAGAGATAAGATATTATATCCATAAAATAAGAAAAGAATACAATTTAATAAAGAAAGAGAAAGTTCTTAGAAGTTAAAAACATGATAGCTGAAATAAAAAAGACAGAGGCTTGAAAAAAAAAAAAAGACAGAGGCTTGGAAGATAAAACTGAGGCAGTCTTCCAGAAACAAGATGAAGTTTTGAAAAATAGGGGAGAAAAGAGAATGGTATTAGAGGACCAGTCCAGGAGGTCCAATATCTGAATAACAGAGTTCCAGAAGAAGAAAATAGGGGAGAAAAAAAAGGTTGGAAAGAAATGAAAGAGTTCTAGAAAATTTCCTGAGCTGACAGATACGAGCTGCCCATTCGAAAGGACCTACCAGATATTTACAATAAAAAATTAAGGGAGACCTACCCTGAGGCACACCACTGTGAAATATCACAACACTGGGGACAAAAAGGAAGATTCTACAAGTTTCTAGAGAGAAAATGCAGGTCACATACAAAGAATATGGACTCGGACTTCAGTCTTCTCAACAGTCGTATTAGGAGGAAAATGACAGTGAAACCACTTCTTCAAATTAGAAAGGAAAATGATTTCTAACCTAGAATTGTTAAGCCAGTCAAATCATCTTATGAAAATTAGGTATTTTCTCAAATATGAAAGATCTCAAAACATTTACCTTCTATACATCCTTTCTCAAGAAGCAAGTGGAGAGTGTATTTCATCAAAAAAAAAGTAAAATTTTAATAAAGACAACAACTTAAGATAGACAATATGGGAGATTCAAAATGGGAGAGAGACAATAGTAATTTTGAGGAGGATTGTGAAGAGAGATTCCAGGGCTATGCACTAGATTTACAGGGCAACCAGTCTGGATTGTAGGAACATGATTCCTGAGACAGGATAATAAACTGTCATCACCAAGATAGCCACTCACATTATTCCTAAGGACAGAGTGTCCAGATAAGCCTATTCCCAGTTTTTATTCATATTTGGCTTGCTTTGATATATCTACTTTGCATTGCTACCTAGAACAGCTAAGAACACTCATTTCACCTCCTAGATGTGTTCTGCTTTGATCTACTCTTAACTGTTAGAAGAAGGCCACAAAGAGCTTAGAAACAAACAAAAGCAGATAGTATTCTTCCCCTGTGACTGTATATACACCTGCTGAACAAACCTGTAACACCAGGTCACACCACTGCCTGAAACCTGACCAAGATGACCCTATGTTTCCAAGATCTAACTCATGACATTCCTTACTGATTTCCTGAGTAGAACCTCTTGAAACTCAGTGAACCTGATGCCAGACTAATCTTCCTTTTCCTGGAAGCTTTAACTGTGGTAATGCTACCCTTTCTTAACTCAGTTAGCTTGGGACATTATTCATTTTTTCAGAGTAAACCACATGTTGTTTAGGAGTATATCCAAAGACAATAAAGCTATAAAGAAAAGTAAAGGCATATTACCACATACATCAGGATAATGGCACCTCTGGGGGTATTGAGAGGGGCACACTTAATATTCTAAAATAATATTAATTTCTATTTTAAACCTGATTGAGAGCTAATATTTATTCTTTTTGTTATTCTTAAGCTAAAGCATATTATATTTTATACACTCTTCATTTTGTATCAAACATTTCACAAAAAAGTTTAAATAAATTAAAAACAAAGGTATAATAAATTAAAAATAAGCAAGCACATGCTGAATATTAACACTGAATTTCCTACTCTGTATAAGGCAAAAAAATTTTAACATTAAAAAAAAATCCTGGGGGGCGCCTGGGTGGCTCAGTTGGTTAAGCGACTGCCTTCAGCTCAGGTCGGGATCGAGCCCCACATCGGGCTCCCTGCTCAGCAGGGAGTCTGCTTCTCCCTCTAACCCTACCCCCCCCTTGGGCTCTCTCTCTCTCTCAAATAAATAAATAAAATCTTTAAAAAAAAAAATCCTGGGGCGCCAGGGTGGCTCAGTCAGTAGAGCGACCAACTCTTGGTTTCGGCTCAGGTCATCATCTCAGGGTCCTGGGATCGACGGCCATTTCAGGCTCTGCTTCCCCTCTCCCGCTCCCTCTGCCCCATCCCCTGCTCAAGAACTGTCTCTCTCATATAAATAAATAAATCTTTAAAAAAAAATCCTTTCCCACAAATTGGATATACTAACAGTTGAATCTCCATGCTTCTTACTCCAACCTACAGGCAGGATCACTTAGCTATAATAGCTGTTAATGAGAAGCATGGGATAGGTAAAAACTGACGAGATCTCCACTCATCAGAAACTCAGAATGCAACAACTAAGGGGCATTTGAGTTAGTATTGACCCAAGCAGTAAATATCTTATTTATATATAACCCAAGGGATTTATAACTTCTTTAATTCCTCTGAAATCTAATAGTATTATTAATAGTAACATTAACCTGAAATTATTTTATATTATGAACTCTCCACCTCCACCTTACCAGGAGGAAATGAATCAAATTGTCTAAACTCTGCAATACCTGAGTCCAGAATATTGTACAAGGTCAGTTCCCCCATCTATACTCTTTTCCCCACCAATTAGGATTCTAGACCCACTCTTCTCTCTCGTACATGTTAGTTGGGTTTTAATATTTCAATGGCCCCTTCTAACTGTAAAAAAGAAAAAATCTTTATTAAAAAAATTCAACTCTTCTTTCTTTTAACTGAACTCCAGATCTTTACTTCTTATACCTGGACACACTCTCAAAAGGTAGTCTAACTCTTTGGCTAGCTATCTACACATACCTTATAATCTGGATTCCACCACCTCACCAAAACTATTCTCTTAAATGTCAGTAAGGACTAAATTCTATTCCAGTTTTCACCCTCCTTTCCCTTTCTGCAGACTCATACACTTACACATTCTTACCTCATTGTAAAATTATTTCTTCCATCTTTTTTGTTCTCCTTCTACTACTCTACTTTTAAGCATCTCCTCTGATTCTTCTTCCATCTCCAGTGACTGAAATATAGCCAATTAACTAAGGTTCTGTCCTCAGAATTTCCTTTTTACTCTATTCTACCTTCCCTGGCAAGGCCCCCATTCTTAGGGTTTATTTTAAAATAGCACCTCTATACTGATGATTACTAAATATCTTTCTTCTCTGACTCATCTCCTGAACTCCAGAACCAAATTTTAAACTACCAACTTAACATCACTACAAGAATAATCAGCTAATACTCTAAGCTTAACATGTTTAAATGGAACAAATTATCAACATCTTTCCCTGTTCTCCCACCCTGTGTTCTCTAAACCTATTCATATTAAAAAAGGTTACAATATTCATACCTCTCAAAGTCCCTTAAAAATTAAATATCCACAAAGTACATTTGCTTAGCACAGTGTTTAGAACAGAATATTCAATACTTAGCACAGTGTTAAGAGTGTTTAGAACAGACTAAATACTCAATTAGCGATAGCTAATTGTCATAGTGTAACGTTAGTAATAGTATTCAAACCTTCTATTTGCCCTCAACTTTGGAGGGCATCTTTTCACATTACAATCAGAATTGTCTGTATTACTTCTTTGTACAAAAAAGCTTTCATGACTTCCCATATGTCTAAAAGAAAAATTGAACATACAAAACAATAATTTTTAACACTCTTTGAAGTATAACCCTCAACCCACATGTTATGTGTTGAATTGATTCAGACTGGGGGATTATAGAAAACTTCCTAGAACAGGGTCCTGAATGGATGAAAAGAATTTTGATAGATGTGGAAGGCAATTGTAGGCTCATGAACACGAGCAATTTTATTTATTAATTAATTTACTTATTTAATTAGGTAGAGAGACAGCACAAGCTGGGGAAGAAGCAGAGGGAGAGGGAGAAGCAGACTCCCTGCTGAGCAAGGAGCACGATGAGGGACTGGATCCCAGGACCCCAGGATCATGACCCGACCTGAAGAAAAACGTTTAACCAACTGAGCCACCCAGGCGTCCCTCTAACATAGAGCATCCCTGTTATTTTTGCCATTCTGTGTAAGTATGTAGTAGTATCTCCCTGTGGTTTTAATTGTGTTTCCCTGATAGTGAATAATACTGGGCATTTTTATATGCACTTATTGGCCATTCATATTATTAACCATTCAAATCTTCTTCCCATTTTAATGGATTATCTCCAACTTATTTTTTTTTTAAAGATTTTATTTGTTTGAGAGA